CCGAGCCGCGCTGCATCCCGCAAGCCCCTGAAGCCGGCGCTGAAGCGGGTGCCCAGCGGCACAGTCGAGACGCCCCCAGGTGAGTCTGCACCCACACACCCCCTGGCCCTCCCTGCAGCCTCCTGCTGACCCCCCTCCCTGCCTGCAGCCGGCACCACTGACCACTCCGGCATTGCCCTCAAGAGCCTCTTCTGTGCCAACACCGCTGCAGAGCCCACCGAGGTGAGCCACGGCCCTGCCAGCCCTGCCCAGCCCTGTTTGACCCTGCCTGGCCCTTTCTACCCACTCTTATCCTCTCCCATCAATCCTGTTCCTTCTCACCCCTTCCCACCCTTTCCCAGTCCTGCCTATCCTTGCCTGTTCCTTCTTATCCCTGCCATTCCCTGCCTATCCTTTCTTATCCCTGCCTGTCCTATCCCTTTCCTGCCCATCCCTGCCCATCCCCGCCCATCCCTGCCTGTCCCTACCCATGCCCTAATGCCATTGTCTCTCCCACCTGGTGCCAGGCCCAGGGCACGGCCTATCGCAAGGCCAAACACGTCCGCATTTCCATCACGGTAAGCTGCAGCCAATCACAGGCTGAGCACGTCTTCTCTCAGCCAGTTGGAGCCTAGCATGGATTCTCTGAACCAATCAGGGGTCTAGCAAGATTCTGCTTGGCCAATCATGTTTGGCCTGTGTCTGTGCAGCCAATCTCGGACTGTCCCAATTCAGCTCAGCCAATCAGTGTGTGAGTCCTCCCAATCCAAAACCTTCCAGAAGAATCATAGTGTGACTCCAAGCCTCTAGGCCAATCACAGCCATGGAATCTGCCCCACTTTGCTCCGCCAATCATGGCACAGCCTGCATTCTCTCAACCAATCACAAGCCTGGATTGTCCCACCTTGACCAATCATGATGTGACCTATGTCCTCTCAACCAATCATGTTACCTGCACCTGCTGCCTGCACCCTGCCCAATCACTGCTCCCTGCAGCCTCACATGCCCTGCCTGTCCTCTGCCCGCTCCCTGCCCATGCTTGCCCACATGCTTCCTGCAGCCAGTGTCGGGGTGTGCTGCCCGCTGCTGGCCTGGCAGGTGCTCATGCTCCCTCTTTCACAGGAGGAGATGGATCTGGGTGACAGGATGACCCCGGCGGAGGTGAGGAATGGGAAGGAGTGGGCAAATCCCTCCTGCCCTTTGGGAGCCAGGAGATCCCAATGGGCTGATGGGGAGGGAGGGCAATGGAGTGTGGCAGACCTTCACTGGCACCCTTGGGGAGGGGCTTTGCCCACTCCCCCTACCCCATGGTCATTCCCACTCCCCCTGCTAGATCTTGGACTGGGAGGAACAGCAGCTGGACCAGCTAGTGGACTTCAGCAGTGCCAAGATCGACCCCGCACCCTTCCAGCTGGTGGAGCACACATCCCTGCATAAGGTGTGCCTGTAACCTCCCCCTCCCTGACCCGAACTCCCCCAGGCCATCCCCAGACCCTCAGCTAACCCCCCTTTTCCTGCAGACCCACACCATCTTCTCGCTGCTGGGGCTGGACCATGCGTACGTCACCAGCATCGGGCGCCTGGTGGGCATGGTGTCCCTCAAGGAGGTGAGAGGGGCTGAGGGCTGGTGGGGTGGATGACATGGGTCGGGGGGGCACCCAGAGCCTTCCACCCATGGTTTTGGGGTGCCCACAGCTGCGCAAGGCCATCGAGGGCTCACTGACGGGCAAGGGGGTGAAGGTGCGCCCGCCGCTCGCCAGCTTCCGCGACAGCCAGGGCAGGGCCAGCGGACCCGCCACCACC